AGTTCGGAAGGAGCTGCCGTTCGGATCTGGAAAAACCCAAATTGAGAAATTGAATCCCAACCCTAACTAAGAAATTCAGATCGGAGGAGAAGAGAGAAGAGAGATAGAGATGGAGGTAGGAAAAGGGGGGGGTGAGAAAAAGTGTGCGTATTTTATCTCTATCCACTGGTTTTCGGATTGTCGTGCGAATGAGAAAGAAAGGTTGAAGGGAACCTTGCGAAAAGGACGTGCTTGTTTTTTTTTGGATGTTGTTCGTATTTGTATGTATTTGAGTGTCGTATTTATTTGTTTTAATTTTCAGATTTGTGTCAATTTTTAAGTCGGTTACGTTTCTGCAGATGTTGGCTTTCTATTTTTGGACTTCGGCTGCACCCAAAATACAAACCCCCCCAATGGTCCAGCCCAATTGCTCCTTCGCATTGCGATTCAAATTGACCAAAATACAAGACCTCTCTCACGTCATATCGCTAAAAGAGAAGTTGGAAGAATGAAGGCCAACTAAAAATTAGAGAACCTTCATCCAATTGATTGTTACCCAAGTGATCGATAGCCTTGGTTGAGAAAGATGCAATGGAATTGACACTCATATTTGAGTAAGAACATTTAAAGTGCAAGCTTGTTGTATTAACTTTTTTTCACACAAATATATATGTAATTAAAGGGAAAGGCGAAATCATGAGCAGAATATAGAACACAGTCAAAAGAAAAATGAAAAGAAATTCATTCTTAATAGTATGTTGAAAGTTGAGAAGGGTTACCATAGTGGTTGTGGCCCTCCCCGTTTCCCCATGCTTGGCACTCAAGATCGAAATTCTGGAATTTCTTTCCTTCCAATGTAATTTTTTTAAATTAAAAAAAAAAACCAATACCAAATAAATTGTCAATTCTTTAGAATTTATAATGTTTTCATAGACTAATGTCTCAACTTATGAACTATAAAAGAAAACAGTATAACATAATAACCACATATTTATACAATATTACAATTATATTAGGTAGGGGGTTTCTGAAGTTTCTCCAAATGAGCCATCCCTTGTGAGCTCATTATCTGCTTGTGCTCATTTGGGAGCTTTAGACCAAGGGAAATGGGTACGTGCATATGCTCATAAAATTGGAGCTAAGATTAGTGTAACTCTTGGTACTACTCTTATAGACACGCATGTCAAATGTGGCAGCATTGAAAACGGTGCCTATGAAGCTTTTAAGAGGATGGCACAAAAAGATATAGTTGCTTGAGAGGTTATTATTTATGGTTTTGCCAAACATGGGCAAGTTGAAATGTGCTTTGAGTTGTTTGATGACATGGTTGCCAATGGAACTTATCCGAATGAAATTATTTATGTGGCTATTTTGTCTACTTGCTCCCATTTCGGCAATGTTGAAATGGGATATCATCTACTTTTATTTTATGAAATGGTGCTTGAGTATGGGATAAGACCTTCTTGGCCGTGCCGGTTTGCTGTATGAGGCGGAATAACTCATCATGTCACTGCCGAAAAAGCCTAATTTGGTTTACTTGGTGCTTGTGGGATGCACCATTACCTAAGGAGAGGGAACCTTGCTTTCAAGCACAACTTGAGCCAATATGTCTGATGACAAATATAAACCTGCAGGGCTTATGTTCGATACGGCTGCTAGGAGAAAAGGAAACTTCAAGTAAAATTAGGAAGCTCATCAGAGAAAATGAATTAGAGACAACTGGTAGACTAAGCTTCATTGAAATAGATGGTGTGGTCCATGAGTTTGAAGCAGCAACTATTAATCATAGCAAGCACAATGAAATCTACAAGATGTGGGGGGGAGGACAGTAATAGAATTTTAGACATAGATGAAATTGAAGTTAGAACTCCAATTACTGCAGCAACTCTTTTATGTGGTGATTTTTAGATGGTATTTGATCTTGTAGCTAGCAACCAAAGGGTTGAATGAGTAAAACTTAATGCACTGCTTTGAGCTTGATCCAATATTACTACACATAAGCATGATGAAATTTAATGGCAAAGAAGAATGATTGTTCATTATTAATACTTGGTCAATTTACAATATATGCGTCATTAGTTGAAAATTCTCGAATAGCTTCATTGATTGATTGAGAAAAAATTTGTATATTTCTCGCAACTAATTCCCAATACTAAATGATTGATTTAATTTGCGAAACAATCTCACTCACGTGTTACATTATTATCTTATCTATCATCATATTTAGAAAGACATCAATCTCTTTGGCAAATAGAAGATTACTCATTAATGCATACCAAAAGAAATTTACTATCCAAATAATAGTTTGCCATGGTTGGGAGTTCTCCTACTGTTTGTTCTTCTCCTCATCATCCTTTTGATTATTATGGAGTCGTCCATGATCAAAACAAAGCGGATCAAAAAAGAAACCCTTTTCTTCATGGATCGCTTATGAAAGAGGTGGTGTAGATTAATTATGTTAGTTATTGCCTTCATATTCATTGCAATTCAATTCAAATATCAAGTGTTGATATAGACTCATGATTCAATTCACAGCCAGTTTATTCTTATTTGGATTTTGGAGGACTAGGACCTGCTCGTTTCGCCACCGAAGAGTTGAGAAAGAAAAGGGTTTCTTTTTTTCTATTTTCTTAATTTTTCTTTAGTACATATGCAAGATTTAGTCGTTCCTAAGAAGCTAATGGTTTTGTGGATTAATTATCATTGACATATTTAATATCTGTCTAATGATTTGGCTTCTCTTGTAGAATATCCAATTGCAGTCTGTGAGAGTGCTGAGGAAAGATTCTGAGTCGCCACGATATATTTCTTCCTATGATCTATTGTTGGAGGCAGATGATGCCGGTGTTATGAGATATTTCGAAGTAGAAGTTTCAGTTAATTCCAGCAATGGCATGTGGTTGCAAGAATTTTATCTTCTCGTCGATAATCAAAAGCCAATAAGATTATATCATCACCTAGGTATGCTATGCCTGCTTGATTATGCATCTAAACTGTTGTATATATCTACTTTCAAATAATCCCCAAGTTTTCTTTAGTCGTAAGGTAGTTGAATGTTATATTTAATTATTATGCACTATACTCCCCAAGATTGTTGTATAAGAACAAATTTCTTTTCAACTATATCTATGTTGGTATTTCAATGGTGTTTAGGGTTTAGGTTTTCATTGGAGGAGGAGGGGGGAGGATTAGCTGGGTTCTTGAATGTAGATCCATTTTTGTCACATTGGATGTAGTAGTTCAGTTGTCTAGCCATGTAAGCAAATAGAGTGTCCATCCTTCAGTTCATGCCATTATCTTGCCACCCCATGTAAATTTAAAAGAAAAAACAATCATATCTTTACCCACTATTATTTTTAAAATGCCTTTTATTTATTAATTCAAGCAAATTATCTTCTTCTTTTTTTAGAGACAAGCAAATTCTCTTTAATTATATATTTATTTATAATAATAATAAAAAACCAAAGGTTGCACCACATCGATCCCCCAACGCAGCCCCTTCCCTCTTCCCAAACCATCCAACACCAACCCTAACAACTCCTTGCCTACTCTGTAATTCAAATTCCAACTCAAGCTCAAGGCCAAGTGGTCGTCTCTGATAAGACTTCTTACTCTTTCATCAATACCTCTAATGCCGACAGTAATGATGATTACGATGACGGTCGTCTCCGACAAGGAGTTGGTGGATATGGTGGCTTGGAGGTGTGGGAGGTGGTGGATGGTTTAGGAATGGTTGGGAAGAGGGGGCTACATTGAGGGAGGTGAGGTTTTTTCCCCAAGTTTTTAGAAGTTATTTTATAAAGGGATAAATTTGTCATTAAAATTTTGAAGATAAAGTGGGTGGGGAAATATGACAAGGGGTGGAAATAGCAGTACTCTAAATTAAAGAACCCAAAAAAATTACAATCATATCATAATGCATGGATTACACCCAACTTCTATAGTTAGATTTTGACTTATCCCAAATTTTCTATTATTTATTGTTTGTTTTAAACAATAATGTTTTTAAAAAATATTTTATTATGTTTTTGCACACATGACATATATTTTAGCTAAATAACGTGTCCCACTTGTATCACGTCGGCATTTTTAACATATTATTTGACAAAGTTGAAGGTGGGGGGATAAAGTGAAAGACAAAACACCGATCAATAGACCTAGCCAACGAATCATGTTTGTCGTGTTCTTGTTAGCCCGATTTCTTAATCAGTAGACACGAATACGACTGTTAAAATAAAGAATGACATGACATGATCCGTTTCACTCGTTACGAATAGTGGGTCCGTTTAATCTACATGATCCGTTTCACTCATTTTAACCTACATGACCCATTTCACTCACTTTACCTTACATGAATTATTTCACTTGCTTTAACCTACATGACCTATTTCACCCCATTTCAAAAATAAACTATATTTCTTAATAAACTGTTAAATGAAAACACCTCATTTTAGACAATATTAAAAAGGATGTTTAAATCTAAAAAATCATTTCATTCACTAAAGTTTCAAATGGGTACTCGCGAATGGGTGAATAACGGTTATTCATGGTTGGATAATATGTATTTTCCCATAGATAACGTAACGATCTGTTAGCTTAAGGGATGGCTAATGGGTCGACTCGTTTTCAACACAACTCATTAAGTCCAACCCGAATATTTATTTTTTTCATGTGAATTAATGTCGTGTTAACATGTTATGTACAATATTATTAGTTCTACTGTTTAAGGAAGTAAAGTAAAATACTTTAAGTTTTGAGGAGCAATGTAAAATTTAATCGTAGTTTCATACTGTTTAATGCTTTTATCTTTATAAGAGATTCATCTTCTCTTTTTTATTTTCCTATTTTAAATTTTTAGTTTTTAAACATGAAAAATAATTAATTTACTATCTATCCTTATATAGTTTTCATTCCTTATCCTTACTTATTAATATTACTAGTCTCTCCGCACGCGGTTCCGTGCCTGCAAGAGGTTTTTTTTTAAAAAATTAAAATTTATTTTAGAATTAAAAAAGATAATAGGTGGTTGTGTTTCATAAAAATAGGCCATTATCTTATTTTTCTTTTAATTTTAATTTTTTTAAATATGAAAAAGTGTGAATTTACCATATTATCCTCATTTAATTAATAATTTCAATTCTTAATATTTGCATTAACCAATGACATTTTCTGGTATTTTGAATATTTCACCATTTTCTGACTTTTGCTTTATATATATAGATTAAGGAATTTTTTTGGAATTATAAATGTTTCACTTGAGCCTCCGTGCGCACTTCCGTTGGCAGTTGGCAGTTGGCAGTTAGCAGGCAAAGGAAACGCACAAGAATATGTGTCCCGACAATCAGCTACTCAGATAGCATCTAAATTGGAGGCTCTCAAATCTCCACGTGTCGACAATGTACGCAACCACGTCATCAATTTCTTCCTTCCTTTTCCACGGTGCTACCAAGTACCAACCACTCGAGTCAGACAGAGACAACGCCCAGCTCCATGGAAACTTTCTCGCCACATTTTCCCAATAAAAGTTTTCCGAACGACAATTGAAAAGAAACAGAGAATCAGTCCGAGGCAGAGAGATTATGACGACTTTGATCAGAAAAGTGTGGGAGTCGGTGTCGAGCCGCAAGGGCTCGAACTCGGAGTCAACGTCATCGTCATCGTCATCTTTGGCGACGTCCTCGACGGCGTGTTTGGGGGCGTTCGATCGGGTACCGATAGACCTACTGATGCAAATCGTGAGATTGGTGGGGCCCAAGGAAGCAGCGAAATTGAGCGCTGTATGCAAAGCCTGGAGGTGTCTGATCTCAGACAATGAGCTGTGGATTTTCTTTCTACAGAATCAGAAGGAGCAGGAAGAGCCTCACTGGGATTCCTTTCTTTTCTCTGAAACCCATTTGAGATACGGTTACCCACTTCAGTATGTTCAAATTCAACTCAGCTGACTTTCCACACTTTTTAAATTCTAGCAGCTCAGCTACCAAACCCATTTCAGCATTCAATTCTAAAGTCTGTGTTATGCAGAAAATAGAAGAAATCTAATTCAAATTGGTGTTATTGGTAGTAAATATTGGGATTTTCCTAAGAGAGTTTTTCTTTTTGGCATAAAGGTCTAATTTTCAAGTAACCAAAGATAGAGAATGTCACTTGTAAATTGGATTTCAATTGGTTGGTGTATTTTGTCAATGTGATAGTGGAGTGTTCATAACTTGGAGAAAATGCCACATCAACTGCTTTACTGAGGAAACCTTAATTTTTCTTTGATGCATTGAATTGTGGTTAAAGAGTTATGCTCTGACTCATCAAAATGGAATTTCTATTGCAGACCATTCTGGAGTCAGATGCCCCAATTGTCCTTCATGGCTATTTATGGCCAACGAGAGCAAGTTCCTGGTTCTGTTATCATTGATGGTGAGTGTCTCTAACCTCCTTACTCATTTACAATTCATTATTCTTGAGAATGCTTACTTCTTTTTTCTTTTATTATTCCCATTTTTCTTGAAATCATATATTCTTTTCTTTTGTGCTTTGTTAGGAAGCATGTAAACCAAGGGCTATTGAATGTTTTAGTATAATTTTTATCTACCATCCAGAAGGATATGCTTAGATATAAGATTTCAATTTTGTTAACAACCTTTGAGTTTATCTTGCTTCTACATAAACCATTCCCTCATTTTCTCTTTACATTTCTTGGGAAGGGGGCTCTGGCTATTGCAAGTTTGGCTGGAGTAAATATGCTTGCCCATCTGGGCGGTCAGCAACCTTTTTGGTGAGTGTTTGTTTTAGCTCACAGTTAGAATTTCTTTTGCATACAATTCCCATAAATGGGTTAAATCCCACATGCTTGTTGGTTATGTTTCAAGCTCTCCTGCATTGTTAGTTTCATGATTTGGACTTTGTTGCAATGTCTGTTCTGAAGTGATCTGATTTGCAGGAGTTTGGTAACGTTGAGTCTCCAATGTACTCTAGACTCCGCTACTTCTTTGTTACTATTTACAGCAGGTGTGCCTTTCTATCATTTTAAATTTTCATTACTATTTTGTCCTAGTAAAAAACTATAGCTGTTTGTCTCGATGCTATTCTCTTTCTTTCAGTTAATGGCATAAATGTTTAATTTAAGCTACGTGTTCAATAACTTAAATACAAGTGAGCACATTTAAAATAATTTTCCACTAAAATTTCAAGTTGAAAAAGTATGGAAGAAACAGAACTTATGCACTGCATTAATTATCATGTGGCATGGCGGTTCGAACCTTCAAACTATCGATGCCTTCAAATCTTTAATATCAGGTATAGCTGATGTGTGATTGTGTTTCTCTTTAGGATGCAGGTGAAACCATCTTCACAGCCAGTGGTTCTGTCTATACCCATCTGCCATTATGATGGTGAGTTGCTATCTATTACGTGCCCCTAGAGTTATATCTTGCATTGGTCACATTAATTCTGTGTTATGGTCATGGTCTTGTTATCCTTCGCAAGGTATACTTTTCATCCATTTTGTGTGCTTTTTTTTTACTTTCCTTTTCCTTTTGTTCTAGATACAGAATCTGCCAAAGCATCAAGACGAAAACTCAAAGAAGCCATATATAAAGTACTCTTTGACATGAATGTCCCTGCTGTTTGTGCCATTAATCAGGTAGACTCTTCCCCTTCCCCTCCATAGTAATATAATCTGTTGTCTAAAAACCATAGGAAAGCAAGGAAATAAAGCATACCTAAGATGGATTGCATTCATGCAAAGTTTTTCTATGTGGTCTGGAACTGCATTGTAGATGGGTTAATTGAGTTCTTGATCCAGATTCACTGTCTGCTTTTAAAACTGTAGGCAACTTTAGCTTTATATGCAGCAAGAAGGACCTCAGGGATTGTTGTAAACATTGGTTTCCAGGTCACTTCTATTGTTCCAAGTAAGCTATTTTCATTTTCATTTCATTCTCCTAGTGATTTCAGAAATATTAACTAATGGAAAACAGATCCCTGTCCATATTAATGTTTTCTTGGGGAACATGGATAGTGTCTCTTTTGCAATTGTATATAATTTTTTTTCTTCACAGCTATGCATGACATAATATTGTTTAACCTTTTGAATTAGTTTTTTGAAATGTGAGTTTACTTCTCATTTTTAGGTGGCAATCTGGCATTGTGTGACTTGTACTTCTAGGCTTGCTTGTTTGCTTTTAGTTCTTTAGATATCTCTAGAAAAATTCTTCCACTGAAACTTTTCTAAACTATCCACTGAACTTTTCAGTTCCAATAGTTTCTTTTATCCTTGTCTCTGGTGATCCTTTTTTTTTTTTTTTTCTTGTTTCTTTTTTTCCATTTTTGGTTCTTGGGACTTTTGGAACTTTGTACTTATGTTTTACTATTGTGTTTACAGTTTTAAATGGTAAAGTAATGCGCAAGGTGGGCGTGGAAGTTATGGGATTGGGAGCATTAAAGCTTACAGGATTCCTTAGGGAGCTGATGCAGCAGAACAATATCAGTTTTGAATCACTGTACACTGTTCGGACTCTGAAAGAGGTATATTGGCTATCCTTTCATGGTGCAGGCTGTGGTTATTGGATATTTATCCTCATAGAATACTGTCAGTGACTGTTACTGCTACCAGTAGCATTCAACAGTTCTTTATAAAGGACAATTTCTGGTTCTATTTTTTGTTCTTTCTTCTGATGTCATAGTTGTATATGGAAACTTATTGGTGTAATGACAAGTGGAAAGTTAGAAAGTAAGGTGAATATTATGGGTGAAGAAGTTCAATTCGCCCCATGCTTTACTGGGTCAAGGATTGGAATATGCAAAGTTAAGAAAGAAGTGTGTTCATTATTGTGATAAATCAAGAAAGAAAGAAAGAATTTTTCAATTTCATGTTTTACTGTTTCTTAAATTCATTATAAAGACTATCGAATTTGGCTAATGTTCTGTTGGTTGAATAACACTCAGAACTTATGTTATGTTGCTGCGGATTATGAAGCTGAGCTATCTAAAAATACTCAAGCGTCATTTGAAGCCACTGGAGAAGGTTGGTTTACTCTTTCAAAAGAGAGGTTTCAAACAGGAGAAATCTTATTCCAGCCACGGCTTGCAGGAGTGTAAGTACTGTTAGAAAGTTTCAGATTAATTGCTTTCTATTTTTCCCTCCCCCTCATCCTCTCCCCATTTTGTAGATTCTGTTGCATCCATCACATAAAATCATCAATCATGGTTTCTGTCCAACATTACCATTTAGTTTATTCGGAATGCAGAACTTCAGAGGGAAGCTGTATTTAAATTTTAATATGATTTTTGGTATAGGCGTACTATGGGTTTGCACCAGGCTGTTGCTCTTTGTATGGACCATTGTCATTCTGCAGCACTAACAGATGATGATGCTTGGTTCAAAACTGTGGTCTTGTCAGGAGGGAGTGCATGTTTACCTGGACTTGCAGGTATCATTCAATTACACGCACTCTATCTTTTGTGACAAAAGAAAAAACCGAATCTGAAATGGGCAGCTTACTAATCTAGTGGCAATAGAGATGTGAAAAAATGTTGCAAATTACTTGTGATAATACAAATCATTACCTTTTTCTTTCAACATTTTTTTTATTCAGGAAGGTTAGAGAAGGAATTACATGGACTTCTCCCTCCATCTGTATCTAAAGGAATCACAGTCATTCCCCCTCCATATGGTGCAGATACTGCATGGTTTGGGGCCAAGCTGATCAGCAATGTAAGTGTTGTCACTATCTCAAAACCTGTGTTTGGATGTACATTTCGAACAGGCAAAACTGCACATATCCATTGCAAAATATCTTTAAAAGAAATCCATCATAGATTCAGTTGGCTATAAACATTATCAGATATCTGGATTTCTCCATGTGACTTGTGGAGTTGCAAGTTTTAAGGTGGTGTTTGAAATTCTGTTTAATATATAATTACCTGGTGATAATACAGCTGAGCACCTTCCCCCGTCCTTGGTGCATGACAAGGAAGCAGTTCCGGCAGAAGTCTAAAGTCAAGCTTATGTGGTGAATAATTACTCTGGATTATTTGTTTGAGAACTGCCGTGGCCTATACAAGATATGAAGAGGTTATGGTGGAACTCCAAGGTTATTTTCTTATAACTTCCCACAGAAAACAGAGAGACAAAGCAGAGAGAGGCTCTTTTGAAGAACAGGCTGAAATTTGAGAGGTTTTCTCATTGTATATTAGTTATTTATGTCGGAGCGTGCTATAGAATAAGAGTATTCTATTATGTAGTTTCAATAAATTACGAATACCGCGAGCTTCTCTGCCATGCCGAACGAACTGTATGTATCATGAGGCTTTACTGAGCATATAATTGTGTCGAGTATTTGTATGTCTAAAAGTGGAATTTTTTTCGATTTTCCTCAATTTTGCAATTTTCCAACTTAGAGAGCACAGGAGACCATTGATGTGTACAACCTCTTAATAAGTACCAAAATTGGACTTAATTGCATGGCATCAACATCTTTAAAATAATAAGATGTGAAGAATCTATGGCCTCTCCCACATCGAAAATGTATGCTATGATGGAGTTCTAACTTCAATTGCATCTATGTCTAAAAATCTATTAACCCTTCCCCCCACATCTTGTAGATTTCATTGTACTTGCTATGATTAATAGTCCCTGCTTCAAAGTCATGGACCACACCATCTATTTCAATGAAGCTCAGTCCACGAGTTGTCTCCAAGTCATTTTCTCTGATGAGCTTTCTAATTTTAGTTGCCGTTTCCTTTTCCCCAGCCTTAGCGAACATAAGCCCTGCAAGTTTATATCTGTCACCAGACATTGGCTCAAGTTCAGTCAAGTGCTTGAAAGCAAGGTTCCCTCTCCTCAGGTCATTGTGCATCCTACAAGCACCAAGTAACGCACCCCATATAACCGAATTGGGCTTTTCCGGCAGTGACATGATAAGGTCTTCTGCCTCAGCCAACCACCCGGCACGGCCAAGAAGGTCCACCATGCATCCATAATGTTCAATGGATGGTCTTATCCCATACTCATGCACCATTTGATAAAAGTACTGATATCCCATTTCAACATAGCCGGCATGGGAGCAAGCAGATAAAATAGCCACAAAAATTATCTCATTCGGATAAGTTCCATTAGCAACCATGTCATCAAACAGTTCAAAGCACTTTTCAGCTTGCCCGTGTATGGCAAAACCAGAAATAATAACCCCCCAAGCAACTAAATCTTTTTGTGGCATCTTCTTAAAGACTTCATAGCCATGTTCAATGCTGCCACATTTGGCATACATGTCTATGAGAGCAGTACCAAGAGTGACACTAATCTTAGCCCCAATTTTATCAGCATATGCATGTATCCATTTTCCTTGGTCTAAAGCTCCCAAATGAGCACAGGCAGACAATGAGCTCACAAGGGTTGCCTCATTTGGAGAAACTTCGGAAATCATCATCATTTTCTGAAAGAGGCCTAATGCTTCTACAGACATACCATTCTTTGTGTACCCTGCTATCATTGCGCTCCATGATGCGTCATCCTTTTCTACCATGTTATCAAACATTTCTCTAGCCTTCTCTACTTCACCCTGATTGAGGTACCCGGAAATCAACGAGTTCTTCGCAAGCGTGTTCTCTTCAGGGAAGCTTGCAAGAACTTGTTCTGCACAGACCAAACTGTCAGTTGAACTCGAGTACATGTGTATTAGTGAGCTATGAACGTGTGTATCCATTGATGTGCCGTCCTTAACTATCCGGCAATGCACTTGTCTACCTTCAAAGATTGCACTCAGTTGGGAACATGCTTTAAGAACAAAGGTATAAGTGTAATTGTCTGGTTTTAAGCCATCTAGTAAAAGTTTATTATACAGCAACAAAGAATTATTTGGGCACTTACCCAGTATCAATCCTCTGATCATGTTATTGAAGGCAAATACATCAGGACAAGATATTCTATTGAAAACTGATGAGGCATGGTAAATTTGTGACACTGTAACATAGGACTGAAGAAGCCTCCCTGCATTTGGAGGGCGGTCAAGCAGTCCTGATACAACTAATTGAGCATGTACTTGTCTTACTTCTTGGAAGTTGCTACACATTTGAAGAAAAACCAGAGTGGTTGGCATTCTAACCGGGATTTTCGAAGAGAAGGATGGTAACTTGTTCTGATTGGCAAGAGACGGAGGAGCAAGAGCAGCCATGATTGCCATATAAATTGCTAATTGTTGTTGGAGATGAACCTTAGAGTTTAGTAGAAGTAAAGGCCTTGTACACCTCACTGTGAACCCTCCAAATTGTTATACTTTGGCCGGCTGGGGGAGAAAATTAGATGATTCTCCCAAATTTTATATTTTGGTCTGCACTGGCATCAATTATTTAGAGCCACAGAAACAAAAGTCCAAGCTACAGATGATATGAAGATAATTGCATCTGGTCCCCACATTACACACTCCAGCTCATTTGACACATTTGGAAACCATGATGAGTTTGCAATTAGATATTTCGACGCGTTTAAAAGGACGAAGCAGAACTCTTGAAAACGAGAGATTTTGAAGTATATAGCTGTCAACGTATTGCACAAACGGACATTTAAATATTACAAATACCAAAATGCCACCACAAAATGATGCATTGAAATCAATGGAAAGTATCTTATTACAACGGTATTAGCTCTAGCACTTGTGGTAAAACATGAATGAAAACCCGATGAATGAAAAAATTGTAACTTCCTCACAAGTCTAAATATACTAAATGGCTGAAAATGGTCTTGACATTCATAATAACCCAAATAACAATACTACGAAACCAGCTGTGAGCATTAGCAATGGAGATTGATTGCATGTGGTATGAACACCATTTACATCGTCAGCCGAAGTTGATGGTGGTAATGCAGGGCATAGAAGACCTTCCTTCCCGTCATGGCACTCATTGGCAAAAAGCCCCGGTGGGTAGTTTCCATAGAGGTTAATGTAGCTGAACATAATTGAAGCACATTCATTTGTCAAGTCATTCAGCACATCTGTATAAGGACAAGCCAATTCCTTGAATGCAGCACAACACTGGGCAGCAGGGTACTGTGGTCCTTTGCATCGGCTTGTGATAACAGTGTAGTTCAAAAACTCAAAGTTCACTGGACAGCCTGCAGATAACAAGAGACAATATTTCACAAGAGTTAGTTACCTTCTAATAAGATCTATAAACAGAAAAATAAGCTCACAAGAGGATTAAGGTTCTACGCAACCCATAACCAAAAAGAGCCTCAGTGAGACATATAAGCTTCCAAGTTCTTACTGAAAAATAAGCTTCAAAGTAATGCAATCTGGTTGAAAAAAAATATTTTGCCTAATTGAATCATGTTCTTGTTTTGTGTTTTCTTTCTTTGCTGTTTCATTTACAATCCTAAACATGCTTCTAGCCTTCCCGATCTCTCAAACGAACAATATATAAGCTTCTTCTACCTATAATTTCCAAATCAATGAAAAAAGTAGAGAGGGGCATCAAATAGCAACGCCATTTTCCAATCATCTTGCAGAATATGGGCAATCCAGTGGTACAAAAGGATGCAAGCTGAGACAATACACAGCATAATCAAGTTGCAGAATATCAGCTTGGCTTCAAATTAAAGCCCAATCTCAAGCTCCTCTATTTTTCTCTTCCTTATATCTATGCGAGTTAAAAGGAAATCTTAGCATATGAGAACTTAAGAAGACACGATAAACCATCAACCATTTGCAAATATATACTATTCTGTGAAAGACCCCCCAATTTAGTCACTAGATTTCGATTCCATTCTGGTCAATTAATTTCTCAAAGCAAGTTTTGACATGGATTTAACTAACCAGAAACTGAAATAACAGAAAAGATAAGTACTGGATTACTAGTGAATTATCCTAATTAAGGCCAATCCATCAGCCTCCAATAACAGATCATCTACACAAGCAGCATATAGATGCAAACTGCAATCTGCTTACATCGTCCAAATAGTAAAATTGAAGCTAGAAAAGGCCATCAAATGGGTATTGTCGAAAACTAGAAAACAGCAGTTTGCATACCTTGTGGCACCACAATTCAATTTCTAGAGTTAGAATTCATGACAAACAAAGAAAAAAAAATTCAGAGAAGGGTGTGAAGGAAATGAAACCTTTCTTGGCCTGCAGTAGGTTCCGGCCGATTGAAGCCTGAGATTCAAAGATACCATCTGTAGTTACAGACAGAAGAAACAAAAGTTTAGAGCTTTGTTGAATCTGAGCTTACTTGTATTCAATGTAATGGTATGGCACTACATATATAGAAATTATCTGTTAAATTGAGCAACACCTGAAATGAAAGTAGGAGAAGAAGAAGAAGAAGAAGCAGGAAAACCCATCAAAAGGAAGAAGAAGAGAATTGAAAAGCTGAAGCAAAAGCTTTGATTCAACACCATGCTTTCTGGGTTCTTGGAGAGAAAAAAGAGAAGCCAAGTTAGAGATCAAAGATCTCTCTTTGTTGACTAAAGAGAGTTTTTCCTCCCCCTTCTGTTTCCCTTTCTTTTATTTGTTCAATATTTCTTCTTCTGGAAAGAAAAAAAAAGAGGGTAAAAAGCTTAAATCTTTCTGTTTTTTCTTATTTTTAATTTTTGCAATTTTGCTAGCAAGTTGAAGTAGCTAGCAACTTACCTTTTAGGAACAGTCGTGGTTGATGAAAATGGAGTACAGCAGGCTACGCGGAAATTGGTTTTTTTTTTCCTCCTCCCATTTGATTTTTAATTTTGGTTATATTGGGCCAGTGGGTATTATTGTCTTTCTCTAATATTATTTATTTTTCTTGTCAGATCTCTAATATTGTCTTCTTTTTTTTATTTTTCTAATATTGTTTTTGGACAAGCATGAATCTAGGAAGATCAAAATGTTATTATTTTCATGATGATTGTTTGTTTTTAACTAGTGGTTTTTGTCTTTGTGTCTTTGGGATTTCACTGCCAAATTCCAAAGCCTAGTTTAGTTGCAACTGGGCAACTACAACTAAATTGTGGACTAAATAGTTCATACTTAAGAGTAAGATAGATAAGCTCAATTTACCTTATTCAAAAATAATTATTATTTGAAATTTTATTCACCAACCTCATAATTATATACTTAGCTTCCCACAATTGGTGGTTTTGGATGTCACGTTTCTTCCGAAAATGACCAACATGCTTTTATTTTATTTTATTTTATTTTATCTTAATGGAATTGCGCGTTAGCTCAACCTTTTCCAACCAGATCTTGCTGTCACCACTCACCACAAAACAAATATGATAAATTATTTACGTTAATGGAATAATGTGGTCCACCATAATTAGTAACTAATATTACGAGGCTTGATAAAAGAAAATACTTACTTCCTTATCAGGTTAGTGGGAAGGAACTCTTATATTTCTGCTAATAGTAGTGTGAGATGTGTGCAAAAGTTTTCATTTTGTGTTTTTGATGAATTGTTTTTACGTATGTATCAAAGTGTGATTCACATGAAAGAGGAGTATCTCTTTACAGGTAAGGAGGAGGCAAGTAGGTAAGGAGGAGGCAAGTAGATAAGTCTTTGAGAGCTCCCAACACCTTAGGCTTTGCATTTCCACAGAAAAGTCACACATTACTTTTTTCATAAACCTAGCCTTTCAAGACAACCTTTTGGACTTGGAGGGTCTTTTTGTCATCACCAGTGCATCAATTGGTAGACAAGTTAAGCGGCTTTTTTTTGTTCTCTTCCTGATTTTGGGCAAATTGCATGCCAATTCAAGTATCAACTAACAAGGTGAAAAGGAAACTCTGTTGGCATTTCAGTATTTCTTATGCTAGAGATCAACCCAGTGGGGCTCTTACTCTGAAATATAATTAGTGAATATCTGAGTGAATATTGAAATTTTCTTTACATGTAAGAAGAGTAGAAGACCTTGCATGTTTTTTTTTCTCCAAAATGAAAACAAGTGATGCCGAATTGTACAAGATTTCATTAATTCTTTTTCTTTTCTTTTCTTTTTTTTTTCTGTTCATCTCTGCACTGTTCTGTTTCAAAGCAGCAAAAAGGTTACAGCCCATGTAGCTTGATAGACAGGAAATATAAAAAAAGAAGGTAAAAAAAAGGGGGTGGGAGGGAGGAGAAAATCGTATCCTTCCGCCTCTTCCGAGTGTGTATATTATCATACTTCTTTAACATAGATCCACGCATGTAGCTTGTTCTACTATGAGTCGTTACCTGTTCAACAAAACGGTCTCTTCTGCTGCATCAAAAAAGCATTCCCAATGTCAGATTCAGCTCGACGCAACTATAATTTATAATATGAACATCAGGTTTTAAGCGCTATGATTAGAAAAGGCTTCTTTCACTACTTATCTATTGCTAGACCCCTGTGACTATATCATACGTTCATATTGATCATATTACGATGAACAAAATTCCCCATAGAAGACTTAATGATGTTCCAAGTTACTGCAGTTTTTGCTAAGAGACTTACACGAAATTTAGATTCCTGCAGATTATCCAGCAACCTAGCAATCTCTAGTTGCTTTACCACTGCAGCATGCAGCACCTGTAACAATAACATTCAAGTGAAAATAATTGTTATCTATGCTATTAAGAGTTCAATAATCAAATGACCAAAAGTAGTCACAGTTACATAGCATACTCTTTTTGTTTGCTCAAGATCATGTTCAACAGACTTTATCCTGTCCAAAGAGTCCATCAACATTCGCTCCTTCTCTAAAGGAATCACAGCAGGCTTGTTGTTAAGGTCCTCGTATACTTTTTCTAGCTGTTGAAGACGCTGTAAACATGGGAGGACATAGTCTTCTTCATTCACAGCTTCAGGTGTTGGTGACTGGCTATGTGTGTTGCTTTCCCCCAAATTGGATGGGTAAATGTTGTTCTTCCTTCCCCAAAATTCAAATCGTAGACTATGAGAAAATGGTATTAGTCTGACCAGGAAAGATATCAGCATTCTTGCCACACGAGAGAAGTCCCTCGTCTCAATTTGGTCCTTAACAATGTTATGCTGAAAGTTAACTGAACTACCTGAAAAGATCCATGAATTTAGAACATAAGCTAAAAGGTAAGGTTGACAAGGAAACAACAGCTGATAGCTGAAATACAAATCAGCGGTAATAACAATTTGTACATTTGTAAAAGTTGATAATAAAGCTTGTAGCAAAACTAAATGAAAATAAGTTAGTAATAGTATTTACCTTCTGAATTTGATGTTGCCTCACGAGAAACATTTTCCATGCTATGATTAAGTGATTGACCCTGACGAAGTCCCACTCCTTGATCACTTGTTACAGCTTTCTCAACCAGAGGCAAATTATCATCACAGCTGTAGTAAGCATTTGGATCTGATGCCTTCACGTGCATAAAACAAATTAATCAAAACACACACCAACATATGTATGCAGTACATATATGGAACCACACAAATCACAAAGAAAATAAATCTCGAAACTCACTTCTTCATTAACTGCGTCCAAAGGAGGAAACGTAGAACTCCTTCGTCCTAGCGAAGAACAAGGATCATCATTATCTGACGCGGATTCTACAATTGATGTATCACTTGTTCTCCCCTGTTTAAAAAGAACAAGAACAGAATGATGGATGCATCATTATCTGAACCAGTAAGAGAAAGTACCATAAATAACAATTCTGAACTAACCTTCAGCGGGCGTATTTGAATATAAGAGTCAAATTTCTGCTCTTCATTAGACACTCTGGTAATTTCCCTCACAAATGTTGCTTCAGCAGCATGCAGAAGCTACAAATTAGAGACCTCAGGTTAATCTTCACGAATCAATTCAATAAAGTGATTCAAGCCCAAAACCACCATACAATTCAATAAGAAAAAAGAAAGGTAATAACCTTCATTATCTCTATGTCATTCCATGGACCTTTATTAGACTTAAGGCAGCCTCCTTCAGCAGAACATGTACATGATCCGCCCAGGAAGTCTGGCAACTGACTGAAAGGAGATGTGTAACAATGAGATGATGGGTACTGTCAAGTGCCAAGGAAAACATTGCAGATAGTATAATGTAAACATACCTTGAATCAATGACTTCCAGTAGTTTAGACAAAGATTTGGGTTCCAGAACCTGGATTTTAAGACAGTTAATACAAAAATCAAGGCTGCAAGAGAAAGGAAAACTAGATGCCACGGGCCCGAACAATATCCTTTACCTGTATCTTTGCAATAGTCTTTACATCAAGAAATTTCTGTGCAGCGGGCCAAAGCATCTTCTTAAAGCCAGGGCCAGCATTGACGATGTACATTCGGTGTAATGTCTATATATTGCAAAACAGTTAGATCACATACAGCACTTTATAACAACATATAATTGTTTAAACCAAAGTTCAGCTACCTCAGGGTAGTAATTGGTGTCTATCTTTGTCATGGCACTCAAGAGATTCGCAGCAGTCCTTGTGAAATTTTTCATGCCCTGTATTTCACATAACATCAAATTTCTAATTCAAATTCTGCAAATTCACAATGGCAGCTATGGAAGTACCAAACTCGTACAAATATTTTAAGATCCTACGAGTATCAAATTAGAAAAATGGGGTTTCTATACTGAAAGGAAATGCATTAGAGTGAAGAGGTTAGCATACCAAGCCTTGTACATCAAGTATAGTTGTTGTTGAACAGATCTGTCTCTTTGCTGCAATTGAACAAGCAGGGAATTTCTCCTGTAGAGCTCTCTCAAATTCTTGGACATGATACTTTAAGTATCGCTCTATACTGGTGATTTGCATAAGCCTACTTGGATGAGCTTTTCCTAGCCTTTCTATGTAAACCGGTCTGCCTTCTTTATCAACCCCATGGTACCCTTGAGGGTAATATTGCAATACTTCATCGAGCTCTTCAAATTCGAAATCCTTCAATTGATTATTATGAAAAGGTGTTAGAACTAAAGGAATATATATATATTAAAAGTTCGTACTGTAAATATACGACATCATTCCGAGGCCAGTTTTAATTCAGATGTTAATGAATTAATGGCCAAATATTGACCATCAGTTTCAAGGTCTTAGATTAGTTTAACTAACTTTTTGCTTCCAACTAAATTTGAGTTAATGAAGTCTTCCCTAGCACACCAAAAACTTATCCAGTCTATTATTACATCAATAGATACATCATTAGTAACAAAAATTAACATCCTTACCTCCAAAATGGTGTCTGTTCCAAATTCTTTTCTCCATTTAAGCATTTCTTCCCATAAATGGATTGTCTTTTCAATGTTAAGGTCTCTAGCTTTCAAAAATCTACATGAGATGGGGAAAAAGATAACATTAAGCTTACTATCCAGTAAATCTGAATTTTCAGCTGATAATTAGTCACAATGTTAATGAAACACAGATATATTGAGGCATTGGCTGACCTCAACAAAGTATGGTAGTCATCATGCCTCGCTGGCAACAAGTCCATGTCAAGGAGTCTTTGACGCAATTCTTGGACAGCACTCTCCTCTTTTTCATCACGTACATCTTCTATGGAAACTGATGGAACCCGGTAATCGATTTTCCTTTTTCCCCTTTTCTTAAGAGAGTGAGTAAACTTGCTTGAAGCATTTATCGCCTTCTTCTTGAGGTTGCAAATCCTTGAGCGTCGTCTCTCCTCTTCAGAATTCTCAAAGTCTGACCTTCTATCTCGAATTTCATCACAAGCTCCCAGCCCTTCTAGGCCTAAAGTGAACAAATGTACACAGTCAAAGATCATAATTATGAACTTTTTCTGATACACCGTT